GGGGGGGAGCTCATTAATCCTTCCCTCCTCCGAAAGCGACGTACGCACAAATGAGCATACAGATAAAGAAGGGTCGGTCTCGCGGCTTCCCCGGTCTCTCCTGTGCCCCCCTGTCTCCTCCATCCACGAACAACGACGACCCCCAAAACTCCACAATATGTCCACTGACTGTCCAACCACTGGACACAAACGTGATTACGTCACATCTCACGCAGGCCCGACTTTCTTGTGTGGGTTACGTCATTTTCGCCCGCCCATGAGTCGCCCCCCATCCCCCCAGGGACCCACAATCCCTCCTTCCTCCCCATTCTTTCTCCCCAGGGCGACACGGTACGCGATTCTGAGTGATTTTTAATCAGAGGCTCCGAAAGTCTGGGTTTCTTTCATGAGGGTAACACTTCAAGTGTGGTGGCCGAACGGACTAATCGGTGTACGCCTGCTTTGAATCCTGTGATCTTGAACGAGGGGGACACCGGAAGGGGGCGGGCTGTTCGGCTGATTTGTAATGGCGAGATGGCATGATCAGAGTTGTTATGGAGAGAGCTCGATTGTCATCACGCTCTGTCGTCAACACAGAAATTATCGAGGGGCTATTGTGCTCGTGTGTCGTAATCCGCCAAAAAAAAAAATCAAAAAAATCCGGAGGTCTGTGATTTAACCGCGGGTGGGGGTTTGACACACACACACACACACACACACACACACACACACACACACACACACACACAAACACACACACAGAACTCAAACAAGCAAACAAGAGTACTATTTAAAATTCAGGTCAAAGAATATGTGCAGTACGAATCAGGAATGAATGAAAGAACTGAAGAAAGAAGAAAAGAATGAATGAATGAATATATTTAAAAAAAAAACCAAGGTTAGGAGATGGAAAACGTAAAAAAAAGTAGGTAGCTTCTCGGTTTTATGCTAATACGTATCTCTATGATTGAACGGGCGATATTGACTTTATGTTCGGGTGGGGTTGGGGGAGGGGTGGGATATTTATCAAACCGAGGTCTTCCAAGGAAGCCTCACCACTTGGTCAACACGGAGAAAGGGCTCACGTAGGGAGGGGAGGGGGTGGGGGTAAGGGTGGCGGTCAAGGGCGATATCTCCTTCACAGATGCTTGTTTGAAGGTACCGCCGTCGTGTAGTTTATTCTTTAAGGGTTTTTTTTCTTCAAATTTAGTTTCAAATGGGTAACGGGGAAAGATCAGAGAAACGTAGCCTTTTTAAGAGCATCCGAGCAAAAGAATGAATGGAGTGCCATGATCGCTGATGTCTGTCGCAGATCTGGCACTGGATGGGATGATGATGAGTTTCAGAGAAAGAGTTCTACGGCACTTGCAATCTAATGAGTGCCGAAGATTAGAGGGGTTACAAGAGACTAACAAACATGAAAAAGAAGGAGACATCAGGGCGATAAGATTTTTCTATAGGACAGGAGCAGCAAACTACACCAAAGCACCCACAGACTATCCACTAGCGTAGTAGTTTATCTCAGCTCTACAAATACACCCTGTATATACCCCTATCTCCCTCTCACCTCACCCATCCCCCTCACACACACATACACACACACACAAACACGCACACACGCCCCCCCCCCCTCAAACGCATGGGGTACCTGCCTGTTCACGACCTAAGAAATGCGTCCTGTTATCTGAGAGACGTATGTACATAGAGTGACGGGTTTGAGATACAACAAATCTGTCGTCGTGTGTGATTTGTGACGTTTCCGTGACGAAACTGCCAGGTCGTAGGCACGGAGAGGACGAGCGAGCGAAGAAGACAGATAGAGACTAGTCGAAGGAAAGACATGAAGAAAGATAGAGAGAGTGGCAAACAGGAGGAGAGAGAGAGAGAGAGAGAGAGAGAGAGAGAGAGAGAGAGAGAGAGAGAGAGAGAGAGGAAG